AACAACAGAGTATAGACAAGCGACAAAATAATGTCACTGTCACATTGCTATGAAGGTGGTTGTACTGTGCTATTGCCTTTCATTTGGGTTCGGTAGTGTTTGTAAAAATTACGTGCCACTGGTATTCATTTAACACAAGTGCAAATTACCTAAATTTCTTCCGTCTTGACTTTCTGAGATGCGATTTTTATATTTATCACATGCGGGGCAAAAGTACTGAATGCCGATTGCCTGAGCCAATCACAAGCGCGTTATTTTTTTCATGTATATCACTACACGACAAAGTCTGCTTGTTCTAGTTTCTGTTTGCAATGCAGGTTTTTTGAACAACAGTATGTTGTAAAAGAGCTGTAAAAGAGAAGGAAAATGATGACTGGCATTTAGGCTCCCAATGTGGCGTTTACAAGAGCTCTCTCAAGTAAGCCTCCTTCCTTTTCTCTGTAGGACCTCCGACCCAAATCAAAGGTCCTCAGGGGCCTATCTGAGCGTTTACCGTAGTTATGCTAAACATTAAAGCCATCATGTGCTGAAGAACTGATTGATTTGGGGAAGTTGTACGAAATTAATAAATGAAGAAACAGAGCTACGTCACATCCATTTAAGGCGCGAGAGGAGAATGGGACGAGACAGACAGGAGGCATGGTGTGTGGCACGAAAAGAGGTCTCCTTGTCTCGACCCAGCTCCCTCTCCTCAATGCTGTAAATAAGAGTTCGCATTCCTCCCCCACCCCTCCCCCTCAAACACCACATGCAACTTTCGACTGCTAGTACGAAAAACAGGTGGCGGTAATTATTTCTGTTGAAAAATTAGGTACTCACAGGAGATTCTTACTAACAGGGAAATTATTCGAAATATTCCTTGTTTGAAATGCTGGGAAGCGAGCCACTGAGGAACCTGCTTTTGGTACACTACGAAAATGCTTAGGGTTGTTTATTCATTCCATAGTAATGACCAGGATCTAATTTCTCCTTACAATATCACCCCTGAATCACATTAATTAAGGTCTTGAGAATAAAGGAAATGATCAGCAACCTAAGTAGCCCTTGATTTTTTAAAAACCTCTCCTTGTCAGCCCCTTAGGAAATGTGTAGGGAACATTAAGAGGAATATCCATTCTGATGTCGGGATGTAAAGGGTCATAATCACATACATCATTTTTTTTGTTTGCCTTAGCAAAACTTAATTGAGGCATTTTTCTTGTGGCAGATAGGATAAGGAAAAAAAAACAGAAAGCCAAGAAGTAAAACTGCAAAAATTGATTTGAAAATTTGTCTCGTTTTAAATCGTATTTCCCGGTTGGTTTGACCGATGTGACCAATTAATTTATTCGGGGGTAAAATTAACAGAAAAGAAGATATCGACCCTTTTTTTTCATGCTAGTTTTCGATACTGACAAAGATTGTAGCAAAGCAAAAACAAAATGGCAACGTTTCTTATTCATTGTCAATTCGAGAAGCTCTTAATTTTAATTCTGAGACAAAAACTGAAACAATATGAAACGAAGCAAGATGCAAATTTGATTGTAAACAGATGGACGAGAAACGTTTGCACAAGATGTAAGTATTTTGTTTTTGATAACAACCTATGCAAATCTTAGCAATATGGAAGAATTCGTGTTTTTTATGTTTTTGGAGAACACAAATTGGCCATTCTGTAGCTGTTTTAATTAACTACGACAGTTCAAAAGTTCTGTGTTTGTCAATGAGTAAATTAATGACCTTCGATAGAATAGCATTTCCGCCCAAAACAAAGCAGGTCTTGAAAACAAATAGAAAATTAAATGATAATTACCAGGAAACTACTGACAGCATGATTCAAATATGAAAAATAAAACAGCTAGTACAAATTTGCTTGCCTATTATTTGTAGGATTGTAATCTGCAACAACAACATGGAGTGTCATTTGTCGTCACGTCTTTCGAAACTTTTCCATTTTTTTTATTTTTCTCTCGAACTTTGTTTCTTGCCTAAATTCATATTTAAAAGCATGTGCATCTTGGAGCAAAATATGACTCCAAGGTGTAAATTTTATGTCCAAATCAGAGCGATTTTGGAATGAAGTGCGCGAGTGAGTTCTTGTTTTCAAGACACCTCCCCTGTGAAGGCCAAAGACTCTTAACAAAGGAAGCTTTCGACTCGCTTTGTTTCCATTTTCTGCTAGAAATTTTCTATCAACGCTTGCGTCAAATTGAAGACAAGATGAATTGCAAGCTTTAAACTCTGAAATTACACCAATTGACAGAACATCTTGGAGCCGGTTTTTAATTATAACATATTTGTCGGAAAAATTAATACGATGTTTGTTCAAGCACAGGTGCGCATTTGTTGTCTTCATAAATTTTCCCTCTTTGCGGGTTAAATTTTGATCAAATGAATGATCCTTCCGGAGCAATTTGTACTAATTTTCCTTCGCGGTTCGAAGTGCAAATGTCTTTATTAGTAGATATAGCACAACAATAAATTTTAGCTCCTCGAGTTCTACACCATTTAAAATCTAAATTGCACTTTGACTGGGAAAATAGTTAGGGTAATATTATTTTGAGCATTTAAGCTCGAGGTTCTGGGCGAAGAAGTAAAGGTTTTATGCAAATTGACGGCAACTGCAAATTATTGGATTCTGCCCGTTTTATGCGCGCGATGAAATTGTTGAAAATATCCATTGCTGAAAAATCGCCCTCTTTGAAACTAGTGCATGAAAATTAAAATTAGAAAAAGCTTTTAGGGAATGAATATGCTACAAAACAACCATCGTCAGACTAATTAAAAGGAACACGACTCTTTTTTTTTTTTAATCAGTAATATTTATCAGAATTACGGCGCTTCTGTTCAAAAGATATCTTTTTTCTTCGCTTGTCCTCTTGTTGAGACCAACGGGCACCATTTAATGCTATGATACTTTCTCTGATTTTTCAATTGTTATATTTCATTTCTAGCTATCGATGTGATACCCTATTATGGGTATAGATGTTATAAAGTGCCTTGGATTCAGTTTTATTTTCGAACACAAAAAACTTTGGCAAAAAAAATGGAGATAAATTGTCTTAAGCTATCGCTGCCGAAATCAAGCGTGTTTTTGTTTTTGACACAGTTTGTACCTTAATGATCTCAATATCACGCTGAATCGAGACTGAAACAAACGAGGTCAGTTTTCATATCACGTATCTGATATTACTGAAACGGGTTTTAAAATGAAAATTTGACATCGAATTTGTAAAAGAATAAAAATTGTCATTAGCCCTACCGAAATAACACAAGGGAAGTTTATTTTACTTATCTGCATATTCGACACGAATGGAAAATTGGTGTACAAATTATTCTCGAAGGACTCTATCACTTTAAAAAGGAGTGTTTTATCGAAATGAAAAAATAAATGACTGTTCCGAAGTTGTGTACAGCAGTTCTTCGCACGCAAACGTTTCAATTTAGACTAATTAAAACAAAAAAATTTATTGACGCTTTTGAGTTAAAATTTTCATGAGATTATTAAGCGAAAAAAAAAACAACAATACAGTCAACAATTTTAACTTCTTTATTTTTGCCTGTTAGTAAAACACATGCTAGTCAAATAAATTCTGCCAACGGGTTTTATTTTCTTCCAGCCGTGGCATTGTTAAGATGACCAATCAGACTTGTGCAGAAGGTTTGACTTATATTTGCATAAGCGCAGTGGTGAGGTGGTAGACAGTGTAAACTCGTTTGATTGCCGCATATGAAAAATACGATGAAAGTCCGCCACGAGCTGGTAATTTGCGGTAAAAGTGTTTCATAAAAGGGTGACAAAAAACTATCAAAAATCATGAAGAAAAATGGGGTAACGACGAGAGTTTCGCCTGCGTTTGTGAAATGGAGTGACGAAACTGAAAATAATATTAACGCGGTGGAAAGTTGCAAGGGACGAAAGAAATCTCACTCAGAGGAAGGAGAAAATTCAGGAACTCGTACTTCTTTGAAAGCGATAAATACAAGAACTCACGATTGTGACAGAACTACTTCTGAATCGAAGATCAGTACGTCAAATGTTAAAGTTGCCTTTGCTAAAGACAGCAGCTCTTACAACAACGCACAGTCGAGTAAAATGCGGCTTATTTTCGCATCAATCGGCAAATTGATGTGTTTGCCTGCTTGTTTCAGAGTACAGTTTTCATCTCACCAACTGGAAGAGATTTACCAACGCTACTACTGCCGACACAAACTGGACAGGATTTTGTATATAATTTTACTGGATTTTGTGGTCAATCTATGTTTAATCACAATGTATTCCGTGGTTTTTAGCAAATCGAACCCGACACAAGTGAATCGAATCATAATGACATCTACCTTCTGCGCGCTAAACCTCTCGTTTATCATCCTGTATTTTTTGAAGCTTTTTCCCGCTCGAGTTTTTAAATTCCTGCCTTATATTGTATGGTTTACAGTGTTCTTCCAGCTGCAAGTGGACTTGGCAATCGGTTACGATCCTCTAGTGCCAAGTGATTCCGTTGGGATGTTCCTGTTTTTTATGTTTATCACAAACGTTATGTTACCCGCCAGTTTGCCACTGTGTGCTGCCATGTCGCTCCTAGCCGCTGTTGGACATATAGTTATCACTAGCAGTTTTGCTACACAGAATAAAGAGTATTTTGGAAGGCAGGTAAGTAAATATAAGTTTTCTTATTCGGAGAGTTTTAAAAATCGCGGTAGGCGACCAAGAAAACTTATTAGTTGTGGCAAATTTATACTTCTGATGTCGAAACAACCTAACGGCCCACTTGAGAAGTGAATGATGAAAGTGAATTTGCAGTCCCCTATCAGGAACGCTTGCAAGGTTTCGCTAATTACCCACTATTAAGATCTTCCGAGGTCTTATTTCGTTGTTTTGACGTCGAAAATTGAACCATACCCGTGTATTTATACCACGCGCAATGTCGCGTCTTTTAGCGCAGAAATATGTCAAAGCGTGATTTAAATTGCCGGTCTTCCGCGAGAGATGCCACAATACAGAAAACCTAGAACCATCTGGTTTTCCTTTCATGTTTATATCTTGCCTTAGTATTTAAAAATAAAAATCTTTCTTTACTTTCACTGCTCATTTTCTTGCCGACCTAAGAGCGACAATTTTCTTAGTGAGGTAGAGCAAAACAATCTCAACTTCTGCTTAGTTTGACCGGACACGCACACAAAATTAGCTGCTAAAGTTGTTTCTCGAGATCGCGTTCTCTCGATATTGAAGCGCCACTATATTTACAATAGAAAATCTTAATATTATTACAGCAACATCTCTTTAAGAGCAAATAAGCGAAACGAGCCTCATTATGTGATGCAAAACTTACTCGTTTCTTCGCAACGGTTTAGCAAGAGTGTTTTTTTTTCCAAATTTAACCTTTTTTTATCGCTCAGAGTTTTGTAGAGTTGCTACGGTGACCAGACTTATTTACGACCAAAACGTTTGTGTTAAAAGCACAAATTTCACAAAGTTAACTGACGAAATTATGGCTTATTGAAAGAACTAAATGCGAAAAAAATTCCTAGTTTTGCAGATTTGCTGTAAAAGCTTCGGTTATTTTAAACTTAACATAAATTGTCTTTGAATCTATAACCCAATACTTAATTTATTCGTGCGTTTGACGCTAGACCTGAAAAACTAATTCTGTCGGTGCGAAAGAAAATTTTCTGGTTGCGTAATGTATTCAGTTCATCATTTTGGGTTTCTACCGTGTCTAGCCTAGCAACACAAAATAATTAAACTCTACTTTGAGCATAATACTGGAAACACCCCTATCAAGACTAGCCAGTTATTTAAGAGTTTAATTTATTTCTTGACGAAAACGTAGACGCGAGTTCTTTTTTACGGTGAAAAGCTTTATAGCTAATAGCTTTTGTGAATTAATAGAAATATCGTCCTGCATATGGCGCTGTAATGAAAGTGAGAGGCAATAGGTCTTGTTTACAAAGGTCTCTCGTACATAATGACTTTGAAACTTATTACCTCGTCACATGGCAGACAGAATGCGTCACTAGCAGTGGAACGCCAATAGCGGTCTTCATGAAAAATTTATCACCGGCGATGTAATTTGAGTAATGAATTGTTTCGTCAAAGATAGCTAAAACTCTAAAAGCTTCCTTTAAGACAAAACTGAAATCGACCAACGCAACGATGTCAAATTCGGCTTTCAATAGGCTTATTGACCATCTAATATCTCTTGGCAACATCTGAATTTCATACAATTTCGGTTTTAATTGCAAATAATTCGTCTTTTAGATATCATTATTTTCCATTAAGAAAGAAAAGAATATAGCAAAAACATTATTCTTATGATCGCAGCTGTAAACAGTAAACCTATTTTTATTTGTAAATTAACAATAGCGGTTGCTGCCAAGGTGATAACGGCCGGAATGTTTTTGTTTTTCCCCACGGGCTTGATATGTGATATGATACAGACTGTTGCACGCAACTGAAAATAAGAATCAGAAAGTCGGCGCCGAAATTCAAACGTATCAAAAAAGGCCTGAATATCTGCGATTTGCATTAAATAATGTGACAATCTGGAGTTTATTTTTCTTTTAAAAAGATCGCTTTTATTTTGGCTGGAAATATGGCTAGCAGGCGCCAGGATTTCTAGTTTGAAACCTTTGTATTCACCTGAAATGGATTTCACGGGACATCTGCGACTAACCTTTTTTTTTATTATTTCTCGGTCACGTTATCTGAACCGTTGGTCGACATTTTGCTAACGATGTTTCTGGAGGCAGAACAAAATTTTATTTTTCCAAGCGTTGCGAACCACTTTTTGTTGCACAAAATGTTGAAACCCGTAGCTGACTTGGCTGAAAAACTGTACATTTTATCAAGGCCTGTCAAAAGCCTTTCCTCCCAGCTTTGTTTTATTGACTTCCTAATGACAGACGGGTGATCGTTGACTGAAATTTTCCCCAATGTGTCTTGCAGTTGAAGAGTTTCTCAGGAAGTGAGATCTGAACTCCTGCTGTTCGGCAAATACAAGGGATAATATTTTGATAGGAATAAATGACTCTATGGACTATACTTTTATATTGGAAACCAAAACGAAAATATGAAGGTTACCTGAACAACATTAGAACTCTTTTAACTACGGAAGTTGATTGTAGATACACAGAAAAAGTTGGCTTCGACAGCGTCAAGTAATAGCCTAAAAGTACCCGTTCTGATAAATAGGTAGGAGACATATTCATATGAACTAACGAAGCTGTCCAAAGTAGACAGATTGCAAAGGAAGAGGCGGTGTTCTCTCAGTTTAATTAAGCTTTTAATGTGATTTTCTTCATTTTTGGTTGTATTGACTGTATTGTATTTTACTGTTTGCTACCTAGATTAGGAAGGTCGATTTTCAACTGCACTTGCGACGTAAAACTGAAGAATATAAATAATGGTTACCTCAAATGAACAGTAATTTCTTTGTCAGGTGTCTTTGGCAATTCATTCCGTCTGGCAAAGTTCATCCGTGAAAGGTTTTTCTCTTTGTTTAAAAGCTGTCAAGCTTTTGAATAAAAATATTTTTAGAGGAAAAACTTGTCATATTTTACAATTTTCACTGCCAAGGCAAGCTAGCCAAAACAAACTTGATCAAAATCCTTTCCATCGTGAATTCACAGATAATTAGAATTATGGCGATCTCATCCATATCTTTTTTGCTCTATCAACAGCTGGGGGCAAACATTCTTCTGTTCGTCTGCAGCAATATTATTGGTGCTATAGATTCTTATATCGCTGACAGAAGACAAAGAAGATCTGTTCTGGAAACTAGGCAATCATTAGAGGTGAAAATCGCCTTGGAATCGGAAAATCGACAACAGGTGGGTTATTCCGGTAACCGCACGTCAATCATCGTTACCTAGTAACCACCAGTAGTTGGGTAGAGTTGCATCGTAATATTCTGTGTCGTGATTATGAGGGATGGAAAATTACCCTTCAAGTGAGGGAAGGCTCCCCCCCACACCTACGGCTCAGCCAATCATATACGAGATGCAAACAGCTCTGCGAGAACAAAGCTCGATGCGTGGAATGTTCACTTTTTATTGTTCCCTGTTACGACTTTATGCACAAACAAACATTTCCTTTCCCTATAAAAACCGCAAAACACTCTTTCTTCTTGAATTAAATTCTAAACGAAGACTTGTCGTATTGGACGTAGGGTTTGAAAACGGGGGAATATCACTTGGATTTTTATATTTGGTGGTGCGTTTGGACTAATCTAGAACAAGAAATAAATATTTGGTTGATTCCAAGCTTCATTATCTCGCTGTTTGGCACTCTTCATTTTGTAGAGCACCTAACAGCGTGTTAATGCAGTCTTTCCCTTTTTTTCTTGTAGAGACGATTACTTCACTCAGTCCTTCCCAAACACGTAGCCACAGAAATGGTTAATGACTTAGAAAATGATGGAACATTTTTGAAAGACGGAGCTTTTAACAAACTCTTTATCAGACGACATCAGGAGTGCAGGTGATTGTGATTTTGATCCCCTTTTAGAGAGGAAACCCCTAAAGGGTTAACTTTTCAAAGAGAACTGGTGAGAAAACTTTAAAACTCAGCGAAATGTAAAACTTAGGTTCTCTCTGCTAAGATGAAATTTTAAACGATTTCCTTTTCGTTTCAGCATCCTGTTTGCTGACATTGTTGGGTTCACGGAACTCTCCTCTAAGTGCACAGCGGAGGAGTTAATTATCACACTGAACGAGTTGTTTGCTAACTTTGACAAGATTGGGACAGTAAGTTCCTATTTATTTGACCTAATTATCTAATTATAAACTCAATCCTAGAAGTGATTAACACGTAACTTCTCCCTATAATATCCATATAATATCCAGCAAACAGTTAATGAGAATACTCAAGCTTATCAGGCGGAAGTTAATATCGCTGTTTCTGATATGTCGACATTCACTCTGTCTTCCTTTTTATGCAGAAAAACAGCTGTCAAAGAATCAAAATTCTGGGAGATTGTTACTATTGCATCGCAGGCCTGGATGACAACAAAGCGCATGCGCAATGTGCTGTTGAAATGGGACGTGACATGATAAGCCACATAGCGTGAGTAGCCATCTAACGCCGTGTTTGTGATATATATTTTTGAACGAATAGCAATGATGTATTTTTTTCTGTTCCCACAGCAAGGTCAGGCGACAAACCGGCGTGAAAACTTTAGATATGCGCGTTGGAGTCCATACAGGATCTGTGCTCGCCGGAGTCCTGGGGAAGATTAAGTGGCAGTTTGATGCTTGGTCAAATGACGTCACACTTGCTAACAGCATGGAATCCGGTGGAATACCAGGGTTGGTATAATAAAAGTATTATTTTCTTGTGCAGTTGTTTGTGGGAACGCGCGTTTACTCGAGTATGATGAGGTAATAAGTTATTCACGTAACTTCCAGTGAGGTTTGGAAGTCGGTTGCAGGAACGTGTGCAACAAGGTCGATTTGGCGAGAAACTAAACCCTAATGTTACGGTCTCGAGTCCAGGCTACTGCGGTTGCAGACAATAGCTCTCGTCTTATGTCATCCCCACTTTTTTCATCGTCCGTTGATAGTATTTCTTATACCGCCTTGTTTCTTCATGGCCATTATAAATTTGTTCGGTGCTGATCTCGAAATGTGACATGGATCAGAGACCCAGAGGGGTTTTTCAAGTAAGCGGACTGTGAACATATATTTTCAGTGACAACTACAAACATATCAGTCTGTTTTATTTTCATAAGCTATCATTTCCTCTTGCTAAAGATGAAGGAGATCTTGTGCTATCCACGCCCTTATCAGGATGTTTTGCCCCTAATCATCGTTTTCTCTCACAGTCGTGTTCACATATCAGAGCCCACATACAACTGCGTTAAACTGGATTACGATGTCGAGCCGGGTGAGGGTCACACTAGAAATGATTTCATTAAAGAACAAGGAGTTAAAACGTTCCTGATTGTGACAAGAAAAAACGAAGACGGTGATAAAACAGCTTCATCCCCAAGCGTGGTGAGTCTTCGTCTTTAAGAGTATTTTTAGTTGAGTGCCGTTAGTAACGCGGGATTACTTTTGCTTCGTTTTACTTCCTAAAAACCCGCACCATTTTCAACTCAGATTCAAAATAAAACCAATTACACTTGGTTACGCGCGTTTTCCCGCGCTTCAGGTCTCATTAGCTGCTCTTGACATTTACTTTCTTCTGATCGGTGGACGTGATTACTTGGGTTTTTGTTTCACGTCACTTGATAAAAAAGTGCTATAAAATTTATTTATCTGACATAAATGGATGATATGGTAAGACAACTGGAAAGACGCGAAGAAAAACCTCAATCCTATGAACGCAAGTCTCTTACGGCCCATAATTATTTCTATTTGTTATGTAAAGTACTAAAATTTTATTTTTTTGTTTACTTTGGCAGGAAAGCGTGGATGCCATGTGGCTGACTGAGCCTTCTTCAAAAGAAAAAAGACGAACGTCGTCGCCGATAGTGGAGCTTATTACGGGAGATAAACAGCGTATTATTAACAGAGAAGATATGGAGTTTAGAAGAGTTTCTCTTTTTGATGTAAGTGAATGATTTTCACTCTCAATTTATCTTTAAGACGCTCGCAATTAGCTAAATCACTGGTTTGGTTTCTCCTTATCAGAATCATGTATCTCTTCTCTCTTTATAAACTTTAAAACCAGTCTTTAAAAAGTACTATTTGAATTAATACAAGAAGAGAAAAGAAGATCCTGTAAACGAACAGTCCTTAAGCAAGAACTCGGTAAAAGGATTTCTCATAGTTTACACCAAACTGTATGTTTCCCACTCTTTACATGTGCTGCCGGCTTTCCCGTTACTGGAGCAGGTCGCATGTTACCTCATTCTTGGCACGGGCGGCATGCTTTCCCGCTATTGGCGCAGATTGCATATTTTCACGCTCTTGGCACGTTCGCAACGTTTCTGTCCTGAAATCTGATTGGTTAATACTGGTTATAATTTCTAACTTTCTTCGTAATTGGTCAGATGTGAACTTCTTGTTTTTGATGTAAACGCTGGATGTAAAATAATTTTTTCTTCATTTTAGGAGGAAGAGTCGGAAAAGACAGACTCCTCGACTGCAACATGGTTTGTAATTTCTAAAAAATGTTTTCTGTTTTGCAAAATCAGTAAATCTTGAGATTATGCTTTATTGGTGTTCTAATGATTATGTTTGAAGAGAGTCCGGAAACACTAACGGTAAACTCTGTTTTTTTCTTAGAACTATGAGTTCTGAAAATTACTGCTGAAATGTCTTTGTTCTTCCTTGATACGTTCTTCATTGTTGATCATTTCAGTGAAAGAAATTTGAACAAACTGTTGTCTGACGTTCTTGATGAGAGAGCAGGAGGGTATGGATTTTGAAATACATAAATACACACATAAAAAAACGAGATGAATAAAGAAATAGCTACCATAGCTTTTCATTTATGGCTTTTAATTTTATTTTTGCAGTATTCCACTGTAAGTAATTTTCTCATCTTTTAATTTTATTTAGCGTGAAGGAGAAAATGAATCCTTTTACTCTACGATTTGTGGAAAGTGACTGTGAGTTCCAGGTAAAAACAAAATTTTCACCATTTATTTGAAGAGCTCCATGGTAGAAAAGCCTACGTGACTTTTGATGCAATATGAACATCTCCCTCTGTTTTACATCGGGAGACGCGGTGGCGTAGTGTTACTGCGATGGACTCCGGTTGGAGAGGTCTGGGCTCGAGACCTGGCCGGCTTATTGTATTACATTCATGGGCGAAACATTTTACTTTCACGACCTCTCTCTCTCT